ATTCTGAAAGCTTAACTCCATCCAAGTCACTAATGTCAGTTGTACTGTGAAGAAGCAGCTTTTTCTCAGTAGTATAGTGACTTCCAACCTGAGGATCTCATATTTTGGCACTATATCTGATAACGTTCCGTGGTTATTTATGTTTTGAGTGGCTAACCCTTCAGAAGTGGTCCTCCTCTCCTAGTCTGTCTTGGTCTGAAGGATCCACTGAAAACTGTTCACTGTAGGTGCCCCTGTTGGCATTTAAAATACCAGTGGCATAGCTTCCAGCATCATAGCAGCACACAAGCCATTACAGTACCTCCACTTTACCAAACATGATATCTGTCTCTAGCAACTGGTCCCTCCTGACAATATGTCTGAAGTATGAGCAATGAAGTTTGGCCATCCTGGCCTCCAAGGAGCACTCTGGCTTCATTTCTTCCAAAACGGATCTATGGGTTCTTTTGGCAGCCCATGACACTTTCAATATTCTCCTCCAACACCATAACTCAAAAGCATCAATTATTCTACTGTCTTCCTTATTCACTGTCCAGCTTTCACATGCATATGAGGTTATTGAAAATACCATGGCTTGGGTCAGGCACACCTTAGTCCTCAAGCTGACATCTTTGCTCTTCAACACTTTAAAAAGGTCTTGTGCAGCAGATTGGCCTAATGCAATAAATACGTCGTTTGATCTCTTGACTGCTGCTTCCATGAGTGTTGATAGTTGATTCAAGAAGAATGAAGTCCTTGACAACTTCAATCTTTTCTCCGTTGATAAGAATGCTATTTATTTGTCCAGTGATGAGGATTTTTGTTTTCTTTACATTGAGATGCAATCCATACCAAAGGCTGTGCTCTTTGATCTTCATCAGTAAATATTTTAAGTCCTCTTCACTTTCAGCAAGCAAGATTGTATCATCTGCATATCACAGGTTGTTAATGAGTCTTCCTCCAGTCCTGATGCCATATTTTTCTTCATATAACCCAGCTTCTCAGATTATTTACTCAGCATACAGGTTGAATAAGTAGGTGGGCCAAAATGAAACGTCAAAAGAGAGAGGCATTTCAAGGTGTGAGTCTTCGAAGTGCATTCAGACCTTTCAGCTCCAGTAAGTCTGGAGGACAAAGCACAGATTTATATTAATTTATAAATCATCTGGAATCCTGGTGTGGTGATGTGGGTTAATGTGCTGGACTGCGAGGTCATATGAACTGCAACATTGGTGGTTCAAGCTCACCAGCTGCTCCTTGGAAACCCTATACAGGGTCGCTATAGGTTGGAACTGACTATATGGCACTTAACAACAGATATCATCTGTAAATCTAATTGGGCATTGTTTTTCCTCAAATGCTGACCCCAGGCAAAATGACAGTACCTAAAGCTTATGTTGCCCACAGTGACCAGATTTTGGAGGATAGGGAGGGCTGTTTGGCTCTGGGTGAGAACTGATGGTTATCAGTGTAATCCAGACTGAGTTGGATGTATCTTGGTAAATGGCATTCAAACCTGCTGGCCAACTTCTTGGAAGAAAGGCTTGGGGAACTCTCATAAAGATTGATGTTACTGGGTGCCATTGAGTTCATTTTCAACCTTTGGTTTATGGTTGAGCTTAATCAGTGTGGGGTGTAGCAGGGGATCAGAAAGTTACTGGAAGAAGCAACTGGTGTTTCTTTCTGGCTGCTGGGCCAGAGTTGGTAGTAGCTGCATTCCTTCCTCCACCAAAGGTCATAGCTTCTGCCAGATGGACTCTCCTATAATTACAAGAATCCTCATGAGGTATGGTAGGCAGAATATTAGCCTCCCAAAGATGTCTGCATTAGAATCCCTGAAGCCTGTGGATGTGCTATGTTACACGGAAGGGGGAATGTTGCAGATGGGATTACAGCTTCTAATCAGATAACCATGAGATTATCCAGGTGGGCCCAATGTAGTCACATGGGTTCTTAAAAAATGGAAGTGAAAACTGCAGGGGGGTGGGGCTTGATGGCAGATTAGGGAGAATCGTGGTGAAGAACTCTGACAGTAATAACACAGATTACTGGATGAAGCAGGTTCAGGGGACAGTCCCAGAATGCTGAACTACATATAAAGGAATATTTAGCAGTATTGAAGACTTACTGCAAGTGGAATTTGTAGCAGAAGCAAAAAAGTGGCATTTTCTCATCTACAACTGCCAGTGGGTGTCGGAGCGGCCATCTTGGGTTTAATGGAGCAGGAGCAGGATCAGAGGGGTGCTTCCACTGCAGAGGTCTGACCGATCATTGGCTATAAAGATGTAATATTTTTTCCTGTTCATTGGTCTCTCACTGTCTGCGCACCTCCACTTTAGTGACTAGATGGGTGCCTGAGTGAGTAGACATCCCCACACCCCCGGAGGGCTCTACGCATGCACTCAGATCTGCTCAGCAAAGACCACAGTGTGCAGAATCTAAGAAGGAGGAGGAATCAGTATGGCTCAAGCCAGCTGAATGAGGGGTGTCGACAGTATTTCTCTCTATTCACTTTAGGTTTGTTTTTGTTTAAAACACTCAGGCATATATAATAATTTACACCACCAAAAGGCACATTCTGCAAGTCTGCCTCCTGGCTGCCAGCTCTCAGTCCCTCTCTTCCCATGAATCTAGTGTCCTCAGCTGCTCCTTCTCTCCATGTCCCCATCTCTGCCTCCATCTCTGGTATTGCTGCTTCTCTGGATAAGGTCACGCATTCCTCTAGTGTTCTTCTCCCTTGATGATCCTAGGGTCCTTTTGTTTCTGGACTGTAAGATTAAATACTCCCGTTTTTGTTACAAAACTCGACCTTTACACTTGTGACAGTTGCAATTAGTCATGATAACGATTACTCACTCCTGAATCATAAGAATCTTATTCTCATCTCTTTTAACCAGACCCATCTAGACAAGATGAAAACTATTCAGTGGCAACTCTTTCTTCCCCAACACACTATTAAACTCCCCATTAGGTAGGGTGTGACAGGTGAGAGGAGGAAAGAAAAGCCAAAAAAGTCATCACACCTCTTTTTCCATAAGTTGCTCCATGCTGTTTCAGCCTGGCTGTGTTCCTGCCCTCTGATTTCCACCCAGGCTGTGGGCCACAGGGAGCATCCCGGTTGATTCCAAAATCACCATTTATTCCTGCCACAGTCAGATTTCTCCACTGTTTGGTACCAAAAACTGATGCCCCCACCTTATATTAGATCTAAAACTCTGGAACTGTTCCAGAAAAGCGCCTTCTCTGGTTTATTCGCAGAGCCTCCACTGCCTGTCTCTGCTTCTCCTGCCCCCAAACCAGAAGTTCACTTCTCACATGTAATTCTTGCTTGACTTTTGCTGTTTGCTTCCTGCATTTTCAATATGTTAAAAAGGGATATGGATATGCTTTCACTTCAATTGGCTTAATCCAAAGCCTAGAAATTTAGTAAGTCAATGGGTGTGGGACTGAGCTGAGGAGGTATTACTAATGGTAAACATAGTAGCTTACTGTGAGCTTCAAATTCTGCATGCTGGAACCACTCCTATCTAAAATCCTCCACTGCTTATGCAGCATCAGAGGTGCTGGGCTTACCTCATAAAGGGCCTCACAAAAGTGTGGGCTTACCTCACAAAGGTGTGGCCACCTCAGAGAGCAGTGTCAGAAGGCAAAGCAGCCTGCAGTGTAACCTAAGACCCCAGTCAGTTGCAAGGGCAAGAACTGAGACTGCCAGAGACCGACTGAACTGAGGAGTAGCGTGACCAGAAGTACCAAGTCTCATTAAGGAAGAGATACATCTGTGGCCTGACCACCAATTCAAGACTCACACCACCAGGAATGTAGCAAAGAGCTTGCTTCTGAGGTGGGTCTGTGGTGGAGCTGTATTATGTGGGAAGGGTTCTGGGCAAGTTACTTCTGGACAAATTACTCCAAAGATCAGGGAGCTATTACAGAAGGCTCACAGACCAAAGTTAGATGCCTTAGTCAACAGCTTATTAAATCAATTTAGAACATGGGATGAAAAGCAAGACAATGGGATTGAGTAGGTAAAACTCAGGTAAAGACACATGTACAAGTGGGGTGAAGTGGAGAGGCCACAGCACCTGATCCCAGAGTCTATGGTACTCACACCTCCACATCATCGTCTCTCTTTTCTGTGTTTGCCTCTCCAGTATCTTAAGGAAGACTTGTTGTTGTTAAGTGCTATAAAGTTAGTTCCAACTCATAGCAACCCTGTATAGGGTTTCCAAGGAACAGTTGGTGAGTTTGAACTGTCAACCTTGTGTTGAGTGGAGCACAGTGGTCCACAGACCAAAGATTCCCTATGCAATAACATGCACTTACTCTACTGGTGAGGCATGTTGGCCTGCCCACCACTACCATTGCACACTGAGAGACTCTTTTACAGCTGTGGGATTATTTGCATTTCTTGAACAAATTTCTTGAGCCAGAATGGTGTCACCATGGGTGGCTGAATTAAGATCTTGCAAATCTCAAAAGTACTCAAAAAATACATTCTAGTACTAATACTAATGTGCCTGATAAGAAGGGCAGACATGTAAGACAGAGTCTTGAGGCCTGTAAAAAGGTTTAGGGTAGTAGCTGAGGGTTTCCATACATACCTTGGGAAGGCTTTAGGAGAATCAGGTGATTTCTGAAACCCATTTTCTCCAGTGGGAGAGTGAACTGCAGATCCTATGTCTGTCTGTGTATGTGTGCGCATGCGTATGCATGCATGTGTGCCCAGGTATGCATGTGCATAGATGTATGCATGAATGCGTGCTCAGTGTGAGTGAATGGAGGTATGAATATATCCTGACAGAAAAGGGCCAAGATGGGAAATTGACTGGCCTGTGACTTCAGCTTTTTCACTCAATTTTTGTTAGTTGGAGGACAGCAGAAGTCGTAAGAGTCAGCTTTATTAGCATTTCACTCCTCTACTCCAGCCGTGCTCCAAGAAGCTATAGGGAAGAGAGCTGTGTTCTAGAAGAGGCAACAGGAGCATTCAATCCACCTCCAGCACTGTCCCTAGAAGAACAACTATGGCCAGGCCCTTCCAGATCCTACTGATTCTGGGGGCCCTTGTATTCCTCATGTCCAAGAGCTCCCAAGCCTGGGGCTCACCGAAGGTGGTGAGAAAATTTGAAGATATCCCTGGGACCTATGTCTATGTGCAGCAGGCACTCTGGTATGCCATGAAGGAGTACAACAAGGCCAGCAAGGACAAATACAACTTCAGGGTCATGGAGATTCTAAAGTCCCAGGAGCAGGTGAGTGTCACAAATGTCCCTGCTCTCATTCCATGGCCTCTGTCAGGGTGGGACACTTATGGGAATGGGAAAATGATAAACATAATTAGAGGCCTTTACCCAAAAAAAAGAGTTAGTTTTATTTTTAAAGTTTTGAAGGCAACTTAATTATATTTCATTTTTTATTATTTTGAGATGGAGCAGGAATACTAAATATTCATTTAAGGAACTTAAGATTGGTGTGTTGTTGGTGGTAAGATTGATATAGTTGACTCAAAAATTATAGGTTAAAGCACAGATGACAGTTTGTAGGTTCACTGAAGTGCCAAGTTTGGGACAATTTGAGCATTAGAAGGAGAAATAACTGACAGGGTGGATTATAACTCAGGGAACAAATAAGGATACTATGGGTCCAGCAGACATGGACATGGAGAAAAGGGGCTGATGCAGAGGGGGTGGTTCTGATTTACAGAAAAATGCCTACTAATATTTGTGAAAGAAAGAATTTGACTAGAAAAAATTATAGTTTTCAACCACATGTTTTTGTTGGGTGCTGTTGAGTTGATTTTGACTCAAATCAACCCCATGTGATAGAATAGAACTGCCCCATGAGATTTCTAGGCTGCGATCTTTACAGAAGCAGATTTCCAGGTCTTTCTCCTGCAGAATTGTTGGAGACAATTAGTAGCACTTAACTGCATGTGGAATCATTAAGGCAAAGGTCACCAGTGAGTGCTACAATTCTTGGATAAGTGATTATTGGGGTACAAGTCATCACAGCAATTGCTTCTCAATTACAAAGGGAAGAAATACTTTACAGAAGAGGATTCTGTGACTCACCAAGTGCTTAGACTTATTGTCATGTGTACCTGATGTGATGGGCTGACCCACACAGCTTACTCTAGACAGTCTTCTTCCCTAAAATGCATCCCTGAATGCCATCATGTGGAACAGTCAAAGTCACAAGAATGGGACATTCTGTAAGATCACTTAAAATATTAGTGTCATTAAAAACAGAAATCAAAAGCTGGTGAACTCTTCTGGATTAGAAACATGACAAGTAAATACCAAGTATAAACCTGGGTTAGATCTTAGATTAAGAGAAAACAACCACGAACTATTAGGACAACTGGGGACATTTGAACACTGACTGTATAATAGAAAAGAGCCTTGGGCCCAGTTCAACTTTCCAGAGAGACAATTGCACTGTGATTGTATAGGATGTTAAGATGGTCAGCTGATTTCTCATGGACAACATAGACTTAAACACACACACGTCATACAATAAGAACTGTGTATTTCAGGTCTTGAGGTAGGTAACAGTATGGTACATCAAAGGCACAGAAACTAGATGCATCAACCTGGAGTCTGATGAACCAGGGAGGAATGGCATGGGATGAACATGTCTCTGCTGGATGTTCAGTGTGGTGACTGTGCATCTTTCCAAGGACACTCTTCCTTATTCACTCTCTTTACTCTCTCTAACTTCTCTCCATCTCTTCCCTTAACCTTTGCTGTCTATCCACCAGGACATCAGACAACCTGCCCTCATTTACCATTTTGTTACCTGGCCAGGAGTGCTGCAGGCATATTTAGTACCTGTTCTTAGTGAAATTCCCAACTTTTTCAGAATTATCCCTCTTCCTTGGACTTCTCTGTATCTAAGTTTCCATATTTCCACAGAGGTATTTCTGTATTGTAGACAGGTATGAGGAGGCTTCAAAATGTTGGTGGAAAAATTCCAATATATTAATTCCATTTTTCCATGAACATTTTTAAGCCTCCTCAGCACTGGACTGCTAACCACAAGGTCAGTGGTTCAAACCCAATAGCTACTCCTCAGAAACCCTATACAGGATCCTTTGAGTTGAAACTAACAGAATAGCACTTAACAACAATAACATGTTTAAGAATATACTTACATATTTTTTAAATTATCTACATTTTATGCTATTTGCCAGTTTTTTCATGTACGTGTGCTTTGTTTCTTAGTTCACTGTATGCCTTTGAATACAGGTAACAATTCAAAATAATCAGGTACAAATAGGTTCATAAAGAAACTTCAACACAGGAATTTTAAATTCCTATTGTTGTTGTTAGGTGCCATGGAGTTGGTTCCTACTCCTAGTGATCCTATGCACAACAGAATGAAACACTTTCTGGTCCTGAGTCATCCTCACAATTGTTATGCTTGAGCTCACTGCTGCTGTCACTGTGCCAATGCATCTCATTGGAGGTCTTCCTCTTTTTCACTTACCCCTCTACTTTGTCAAGCATGATGTCTTTCAGGGATAGCCCCTTCTGATAATATGTCTGAATTATGAGAGATGAAGTCTGGCTATCCTGGTTTCTAAGGAGTATTATGGTAGTACTTCTCTTGCCAAATTTATTTGTTCTTCTGGCAGTCCATGGTACTTTTAATATTCCTCTTAAACATCATCACTGATGAATCAATTTTTCTATGTCCTTCCTTGTTCATTGTCTAACATTCACATGCATATGACGTTATTGAAAATACCATGGCTTGGCTCAGGTGCACCTTAGTCCTCAAATTGGCAACTTTGTTCCTGAACAATTTAAAGAGGTCTTGTGTAGCAGATTTGCCTAACACAATATGTTGTTTGATTTCTTGACTGCTGTTTCCATGAGCGTTGGTAGATCCAAATAAAAGGAAGTATTTGACAACTTCAATCTTCTCTCCGTTTGTTATTGTTGTTAAGTGCTGTTGAGTTGGTTCTGACCCATAGCAAACCTATATAGGGTTTCCAAGGAGCTGCCACTGAGCTTGAACCACCGGACTTGCGTATCAAACTGCCTTTGCAGTCCAGTGAATTAACCCATAGAGCCACACCAGGACTCACTTTATCATGATGTTATTTGTTGGTCCAGTTGTGAGGATTTTTGTTTTCTTTACGCTGAGGTGCAACCCATACTTAAGACTGTGGTCTTTGATCTTCATCAATAATAAGTATTTTAAGTTTTCTCTCTTTCAGCACACAAGCAAGATTTTATCATCTGCATATCACAGGTTGTTAATGAGCCTTCCTCCATTCCAGGTTTTCAGATTATTTAATCAGTATACAGATTGAAGGAGTCCTGGCATGGTGCTGTAGGATAAAGCACTGGACCACAAGGTTGGTTTGAATCACACAGTCAGCGGTTAGTTGCCATCGAGTCAGCACCCACTCACAGTGACACTATGCAGTGGCTTTTAAGCAGGGTGTTCCTCAGTTTCCATGTATTTGATTTTTTGATCAATCTGTTCTTGATTTCTAATTTTATAGCATTGTGATCTGAGATGATGCTTTGTAGTATTTTGATACATTTAAATTTATTGAGATGCACTTTGTGGCCTAACACGTAGTCTATTCTGGAGAATATTTCATGTACACTGGAAAAGAATGTACTTTGTGCTCTTGTTGGGTTGAATATTCTGTACAAATTTATGAGGTCAAGTTGACTGTGTTGCTTATTTCCTCTGTGTTCTTTCTGGTTGTTTTGTCCTTCTTTGAAAGTTGTGTATTAAAATCTCCCACTATTATTATAAAGTTGTATATTTCTTTCTTCAGTTCTATTAGAGTTTGATTTATGTATTTTGAGGTTCTTTCATTGGGAACATAGATATTTTTTCTGGTTATGCCCTCTTAAGAATGTACTTTTGTTCAATCTATTTTGTGGGGAAAGGCTTTAAAGGTTGCTTCACACAAATCATTGCTCTTATTTTGGACTTCTGTGAAAAGAGTATTAGCTGCTTATTTTTAGAGCTAAGTCGTCTTGAGGATTTTTCCATCTAGCATAGTGTAATCATAAATTGGCTTCACCCGGGGCCAACTAATATATGGATTAAACCCCAAAAATAAATTCACTGCCATCAAGTATATGCCATCAAGTAGAACTAATCCTTAGGGTTTGGGAGACTAAATGTTTAAAGGAACAGACAACCTTATCTTTCTGCCATGAAGTAGCTTGTGGGTTTGCACTCACAATGATATGGCTAACACCCTAATGCTTAACCAGGACTCGTAACATGCGGATTATTTGGTAAGAATCAGTCCATCCAGGTTGATACGTACTAGAATTCCTTAGCAAACCTATGAGGATTCTCTAGACAGGTTTCAGATGAACTTATAGACTAAGATAGACTAGGAAGAAGGAGAGATGGATTACTTCCAAATATTTAATCACCAAAAACCTTATCAACAGCACCACCACTCATCCTTAAGTTTGCCATACTATGGTGAGTTGCATATTGCTATGATTTTAAATACCAGCAGGGTCACCAATCATTTGATTCAGCTGAGCTTTCAGATTAAGACACACTAGGAAGAAGGAGAAAATTCCAAATATTTAGTCACATAAACTATCAATGGAGCACTGTTAGATAGTACCAGAATATTGAATATTGAAACATGATGAACAACACCAGTGTATTGCCATATATAGTACTGAAAAACAAGCTCCTCAGTTTGGAAAGCATTCAAAATATGACTGAGTAAGAGCTGCCTTCTCAAAGTAGAGTTGGCTATGGTGATGTGACTTGAGTAGTACTTTCAGGATATTCATTTATTGATGGGGCACTACTCAAAATGAGGAAAAGCAGCTGTAAATGTCAGTTAATATTCTAAATATGGAATGTACAAAATAGGAATATAGAAAAAATGGAAGTTGTCAAAAATGAAATGGCATACATAAACATCGCTATCTTAGGCATTAATGAGCTGAAATGGACTGGTATTGGTCATTTTGAATCTGAAAACAACATGGTTTACTATGCTGGGAATGACAAATTGAAGAGGAATGGAGTCACATTCATCATCAAAAATAACTTTTAAAGGTCTATCTTAAAGCACAGAACTGTCTGTGACATGATAATATGCATACATCTACAAGGAAGAACAGTTAATATAAGTATTTCTCAAATTTACATGCCAGCCACAAAAGCCAGTGATGATGAAAATGAAGAATTCTACCAACTGCTTCAGTCTGAAATTGATCAATCATACAATCAAGATGTATTGGTA